CTATGGGGACCCAGCCATCATCACAGACAGGATTATTCTTACGAATAAGCCTGATATTGTGCTGATGGACCGAGCACAGTCATGGATATTTTTGGTCGACATTACCATTCCGTATGACGAGAACCTCGTGAAAGCTGAAACAGTTAAGCGAACATAACATACGGACCTGGCTCACGAGGTGACCGACATGTGGGGTGGGCCGTTGACCAAATTTATACCTGTAGTCGTTTCTGCAAACGGGTTACTCCTAGTCAACCTCTTGGGTCATCTGAGGTGACTGGAACTCCGTGACGGACCGCTCCGGGCTCAAATGTAAGAAGGCGGTGCTCCTCGATACCGCTCGCATAGTCCACCGGTTTCTTTCCTTTCTAACCCTCAGTTCTTTGGTCTCCCCTGCCGGGGGCTTCCATCTGGATGGGTGTTTATTTATTTATGTATTTTTTATATTTATGTATAACCCAACCAGATGAGAAAACTATAGAGATATCCCATAATAATAATAATGGTTATCGTCAAAAATACAAGACGTTATTGCACATCCTAAACGGATAACTATAGCAATAAGAAATACTTTTTGCTATTATGGTAGCATATTCTTAGCAGTAAATTGTAACGGGTCCATCATCATCATCATCATTACAGCCCTTCACAAGTCCACTGCTGAACATAGGCCTTCCCAAAGTAATGCCACAAAGCACGGTCCTGAGCCTCCTGCATCCATCGACTTCCTGTATGTCTTACCAGGTCGTCACTCCATCTAGTGGTCGCCCTACACTACGCCTACCGGTACAAGGCTGCCAATCGAGAACCTTTCTTCCCCATCGGTTATCGGTTCTTCGAGCTTTATGGCCTGCCCATTGCCATATATCAATATAATATAATTAATATAATATATATATATATATATATATATATATATATATATATATATATATATATATCATCATCATCATTACAGCCCTTCACAAGTCCACTGCTGAACATAGGCCTCCCCCAAGTAATGCCACAAAGCACGGTCCTGAGCCACCTGCATCCATCGACTTCCTGCATATCTTACCAGGTCGTCACTCCATCTAGTGGGGGGTCGCCCTACACTACGCCTACCGGTACGAGGCTGCCACTCGAGAACCTTTCTTCCCCATCGGTTATCGGTTCTTCGAGCTATATGGCCGGCCCATTGCCAACTTCAGCTTACTAATCCGTTGGGCTATGTCGGTCACTCTGGTTCTACTGCGGATATCCTCATTTCTGAGTCTGAGAAACTCCGAGCATAGCCCTCTCCATAGCTCGCTGAGCGACCTTGAGCGTCCTCATACGGCCAGCAGTGAAGGACCACGTCTCTGATCCGTAAGTCATCACTGGCAACACGCACTGGTTGTACACTTTAGTTTTCAGAGATTGAGGTATACCTGACGAGAAGATGTGTCGTAATTTCCCGAACGCTGCCCAGCCGAGTTGAATCCGTCGATTGACCTCTCGGTCAAAGTTGGACTTACCTAGTCGGACTATTTGTCCCAGGTAAACGTACTCGTCAACAACTTCGAGCATAGTGCTCCCCACAACTACCGGCATAGGTGTGACATGGACATTGAACATAATCTTTGTTTTGTCCATGTTCATCTTAAGACCTATCCGTTGGGAGACACCATTGAGGTCATTGAGCATAGTGCTAAGGTCCTCCAGCGATTCTGCCATAAGGACTATATCGTCGGCAAATCGAAGGTGAGTGATGTACTCGCCATTGATGTTAATACCGTATCCTTTCCAGTCCAGTAGCTTGAAAACGTCTTCCAAAGCAGCGGTGAAGAGTTTCGGGGATATAACGTCACCCTGTCTTACACCTCTCTGCAGTTGGATAGGTTTCGAGCTCTGGTTCTGTACTCGGATAGCCATCGTAGCCCTACTGTACAAACACTTCAGCACTTCGATATACCGACATTCAACTTGGCACCGCTGAAGGGAATGCAGCACCGCCCAAATTTCGACGGAATCAAAGGCTTTCTCATAGTCCACATACGCCAGGCAAAGTGGCAAATTGTACTCTTCAGTCTTCTGTACAATCTGCCGCAGGGTATGTATGTGGTCTATGGTACTGAAGCCTTTTCGGAAACCGGCTTGTTCGGGAGGCTGGAAGTCGTCGAGTCTGCTTGCGAGACGATTCGTAATGACTCTCGAAAACAGCACGTAGACGCGGCTCAGAAGGGAAATCGGTCTGTAGTTCTTCAAGAGAGCGTTGTCGCCTTTCTTAAAGAACAAGACCACCGCACTTCTGCTCCACGCCTCTGGAGTAGTGCCACCATGGAGGACGGAATTGAAGAGCTTCTGAAGGACTTCAAGTACCGGTGTTCCACCCGCTTTCAGAAGCTCCGCTGTAATTCCATCCTCGCCCGGGGCCTTGCCGTTTTTAAGGTGTTGGAGAGCCATTCTAATCTCGCTCAAACTGACGTCCGGGATATCATCGGAATAGTGTCGGATAAGACTTGCTCTTGGATCGTTACTCACACTTGAGTGTGGCTCCAACGATGATGTGTACAGCTGCCCATAGAACCTCTCAATCTCACTCAGAATCTCAGAAGTCCCGGAAACGATGTTGCCACACTCAGTCTTCAGCTTTGACAGTTGGCTCTTTCTGGCAGACAGATCTCTGGCAAAGACTTTGGAGCCCTGGTTCCGCTCGATCGCTTCTTTAATACGAGAAGTATTAAAGTTGCGTAAGTCTCGCCGCATGCATTTGGAGATCTGTCTGTTCAGTTGCCTGTATGCTGTCAAATCTGTTGACGATTGCAGCCTCATCTCCCGTCTAACAGCCATGAGATTAAGAGTGTGATCGGAGAGTTTTTGTGTTCTTCTGCGGCGGGTCTTGCAGAACTTAGCTCCGACCGCATGGACAGTTTCCACGAGCTTGTCATTCATATCGTCCACTGCATTGCAATCTTGTAGGCACTGAAAGCGGTTGTGTAACTCGAGCTGAAAGTTTTCGGGATTCTGGATTAGAGCACGAGGGGGGACGAAGCGTTGACTTCATTAGACGAGACCTCTCCAACTTAACGTTTAGGTACAGTGTGCCTCTAACCATTCGGTGATCGCTGCCAGTTTTCACCCTTGCGATCACTGACACATCACTGAACAGTTGGCGTCTGGTCGTCATAATGAAGTCAATCTCATTTTTTGTCGAACCGTCGGGGCTCGACCAGGTCCACTTCCTGTGGGGCCGCTTCTGGAAGAAAGAGTTCATCATAAAGAGTCCCTCTTTCTCCATAAAGTCGGCCAGCTGCTGGCCCCTTCGGTTCCGTTGCCCTATTCCAAATTTCCCTAACTTCAGCTCACCGTTTTCTCTTGTGCCTAGTTTTGCGTTGAAGTATCCCATCAACACCGTGTAGTGGGTTTTGGAGGAATGCATTGCTTTGGAAATATCCTCATACATTTCCTCCACCTCCTCATCGGAATGTGCCGAGGTTGGTGCGTAAACCTGTATGACCTTCAGCGAATACCGTTTGGTGATTCTGAGTATCAGGTACGCGACCCTCGTCGACACACTCCCAATCTTTACAACGTTGTTGACGAGAGACTTGTAGACGATAAATCCGACACCTCCTTGGGACAGATGGTCGCCCTCCCGGTGATAGAACAAGTTGCCGGATTCGAGAATCACCGTGTCCTCCCCCTCTCTTCGGACCTCGGATAATCCTATAATACTCCAGCGCAACTTGTCTATCTCTTCTTCCAGCTCCAGGATCTTCTCGTCAGTCCTCAGTGTGCGTGCGTTAAATGTTGCCAGGTCGAGTCGTCGTAGGTGGCAACCGAACCTCCACCGGAGATTCTTAGCACCCCCTGCCCCGCCGTTACCATGGTCGCCACCGTAGCCAGGAATAGCGGAGCCGCCGGGGACTGGGGGCCGTCTATTTGTGTAATTGTTCATGGGGGGGTATATTGCCATAGTTGCCACGCTTGGCGAGCGGGTTGGCAACCGCAGTTTTTTTTTATCGTACAGTTGCTGTTATCAGGAAGATGCTGCTGCCCATCTCCTGCCTGTCTCCCTCTGTCGCCTTTTACGACACCCACGGGAAGATATGGGGTAGTGGATATTCTTAACCGCCACTACACGGCACTATATATATATATATATATATATATAATATAATTGCCATATCCCCTATGAATAACGGGTCCATAAGAAAGGGTAAATAACAAAAATTTGAAAATAATTTTTCGATAGGGTACATTTTTAATACTAAGTACAAGTTTGACATTATCGTGATGATGTTCCAATGAACTCTAGAAATCTTACAGTATTTTTAAAACACCGACCAGACATATGTTTAATTAATTTATCTCTTATATCATATATCTTAGTATATTAAACTTTAATAACACTACTTTTTACAGCGTATTTTACACATTTACATAACTTACGTCTATTTTACAATTACATCTACATGAATGCAACATTTTATTAAAACTGAAATTGTATTATATATTTTTATTTAAATTGAAACTTAATTACATACGTATTTTTATTTGTCATAAATTGTTGTTTCGATTCCACATATCTCAGTAATTTTATACTGAATTTTTACTGAGTCACTCGCTGAACTATTTAGTTAAAATATTTTATTCCCAAAAATACTTATAACGTATTTGTTTATGCATGAGTAAATTCAGTATTATAATATTCGTACAAAAAAACCAAATTACGTACTAGTTGTATTAATTATTATTATGATAGATAATAAGATTTAGAGATGATATAATTATGTTCATCTATGAATAAAACTTAAGGTATGAAAACGTCGTAAACCAGTCATATAATGCCACAATATTAATTGCGTTTTTTATCTTAAAAATTACGCTTAGCTTTTGGACGTCAAAAGAATCAACCCTCTTGTCTACAGTGTGTGCAATCAGTTTGATAAAGTATGTTTAAAAAATCTTTTTTAAAGAAATATTTAAAAGACCGATAATCTCTACGGCAAATGGAATTTATTCTTTAATGATTTTTACTAAGGTTTCTTTATATAAGATTTTGCTTTATCTGTTATTGTATTTAAATCCATTTCTGTGGTTTGAGCATCAGAATTAGGAGAAGAAAAATTATCGTAAGAAATATATTGTGGAGTTTGTTGAACTTCTGATTTAATGGTAACTGGACGTTTTTTTGTTTTTATGTATCCCAATGCCGACACCAATACAACGAATACTATGAAACCTATACAGCAACCAACTACTAAACTTAATCTTCTAGTTAATATATCAGCAATTCCTAAATAAGTATTTGAAAATGGGCTATCCAAAGATGTCCCGAAAATTTCAATTGTACGGACACTTGTACATTTTGTTGTTAACGAATCGTTCATTGCATTCCGTAAATAATTAATTTGTTGTTCATCTCCAAACAAAGTAACGTTTAAACTTTCTTTTGGTAGTGCAACTCTTGCGTCGGGTATCGTCGAGTCTGTAGAGAGTCCAAAATTTCCAATGGCTACAACGCAAATATTATAACGCGTTCCTGGTGTTAAATGATTCAATCTTGTCGAACGCGCAGTATTATTAAGGATTTTGCCTCGTATCTGTATTCAGTGATAAATAATATCAAGACGTTGTTATTTGAATTAAACAAATACATTTATTTATACTTACGTTCTTTGGGTTTTGTTCCCCGAAATAAGCTACTTGAAATCCATTCAAACCGGTTTGATTGCGGCTTTGCCACGAAACTATTACAGAGTATGTTTGTATATCTTGTATGGCAACTCGAATCACGATGGGCACATCACACAGTTTCTGTGGTGTCAATTCTGTAAAACGATATCCTTGAAGTTCATCAGGATGTTCACAAAATAAATTTTTGCTACCCCTTCGAATAATTTTAAGGTGTTCCTGCATCCATTTCCATTGCTCTTGGGATTCACAATTACATATAAGAGGATTTTCTGAAACAAATTTTTTAAGAATGAATTAATTATTTAAGATTTTTAACCTTTACACGCTTATAAAAAATATAAGCATAAATATTTTGAAAAACACGCATATCTTACCTTCAAAGAGTAAAGATTTTATTTGAGTCTCTAATCCCATCAACATTTTCATTGGGATGGTTTCAATATAATTTTTGCTAAAGTCTATATGTGTAACCTTGTGCAAGTTTAGGAACGCATCTGATGATACAGCTGATAACCAATTTCCACTTAAATTTAATTCCAAGAGACTTTGAAGATTCCGAAAGTTATCTCTTGTTATTCTTGTTATATGATTGAATGCAATATCTAACTTTTGCAAATTTTGTAAGTCAGGCGTAAATTCTTCAAGCTCCTTTAATATATTTTGAGAGATATTTAATATGCGTACTGAATATAAGCCTTGAAGTCTTTCTCGAGGAATATTTTCTAGTTTATTTTGACTTAAATCCAGAATATCCAAAACATGTTGCTTTGAAAATGCACCAGGAGATAATCGAATAATGTTATTTTGCATTAATATCAGCTTCTTCAACGATGGAAAGTTTTCAAAATCCTTACTTGTTATTATAGTCAAATTAGTGTTAGTTACAATTAACTCCTCAAGTAGTGGGAATTGTTTTAATGGATATGTTGGTAGTAACTGAACTAGTGAATTAGATGACATGTTTAAAGTAGTAAGTACTGGTAACACAGTTTCAGAAAGACCATTACTTGGAATGTGCTTAAAAAGATTGTGAGACAAATCAATTTCTTTTATACCCAACGAATATTGGAAAAAATTTGGTGGGAGAACTGTTAACATATTGGTATTTAAATTTAATGTTACAAGATTCTTCAATGCGGGAGAGTTGAAACCATTTAAAATTGATATTCGATTTTTGCATAGATTTAATGTTCTTAAATTTTGCAGACCTACAAATTTAAAAAAATCGATACTCTGTAATTGATTTAGGGATAAATCTAATATTTCTAATGATGATACGTTGAAGAGAGCTACATGCGGAAATTCGGAAAACATGTTGCCTTTTAAATTAAGTTCCTGTAAAATTGTAGTATATGCAAAAACATCCTTATGTAAATCTTTTAACATGTTAAAAGCCAAATTAATTCTTAGTAAATTTTGATTTTTATTAAATGTCGCTGAAAGTAGCTGTGATATGTTTGACATTTCTATAGTTAGTGACTGTAGTGAAGGTAATTGTGAAAATGTATTATTTTCTAGCACACTGAAATTGTTTTTAGAAATGACTAAAGATTTTAGAACTGGTATTTGAACTTCTATAATATTATGCCAATTAAGATAGTTATTGCTCATTTCTAGATCGCATAAATTAGGTAATCTTTTCAAAGAATCATTTTCGATTGTCGAAATAGAATTATTACTAATCCTGAAATATTTTATAGGAAGAGAGGAAAGATGTAAGTTCAAAGTCATTATTTTGTTTACAGATAGATCAACAACTTTCAATCTTATTAAGGATTGAAAGGTTTCTTTCGAAATAAATCTTATTTCGTTATATTGTAAGTACAACTCTTCTAAGGATGTTGAATTAAAAAACGTATCATTGCTTATATTAGTGAGCTTGTTATAACTTAAATCTAAAAACCGAATTCTTTTCAAACGACTAAATGTTTTGTTTTCAATATGCGTAATAGAATTATTTTTTAGATACAATCTTTGAATATTAGTCAAATCATAGAAAAGATTAGCATTTAAAGCCTTAATATTATTTTGTGTAAGCCACATTATATGTACGCTTGTTTGGCCTTCAAGGGAACTATTTTTTAATAAATTTAAAGCATTTGCACTAAGCTGTATAGATACTAGTGAAGAATTTCTGTTTGGAAATATATCACCAATTGTTGTAAGTTGGTTGCCCTGCAAATTAATATGTTGAAGTTTTCTAAGAGTTATAAATGCCTGTGATTCTATGGTTCGAATAATGTTATTTTGTAAATGTAATTCTAATAACCCAGGTAATGGACTAAATACATTTCGTTTGATGTACTTTATATTATTATTTTGTAAACGAATTTCTCTTAGTTCAATCAATTCACTAAAGATGAATTCATCTAGTTCATTGATTTCATTATTATCTAAACTTAAAGTTACTAGCTTAGTATTATATTTGAAAATATTGTTAGGAATTTTTTTCAAGAAATTTGTTCCCATGTGAAGTTGAGTTAGGTTTATTAAAGATGAAAAACAATTATGATGCAATTTTTGTAAACCATTATGCTCTAAATTAAGAACTGTTAGTCCTTGTGTATTTTTAAATGCATTAAATGGTATTTCAAGAATGTTGTTTTCCGATAAAAATATTTCAGAAAGCTGTAAAAGATTTGAAAATACTCCTTCAATTTGATGAATATGATTATAACTTAAGTCAATTGTGCGTATATTGAGGTTCCTCTGAAAGGTATTCCTTGCTAAACTGATAAGCTTGTTTCGACTTAAATCTATATTTTCTAAGTTTTTTAAGGGATAAAATGCTTCTTCTTCAATTTCTTGAATATGATTACCGAAAAATGTTAATGTCTTTATATTTGGCATACAATGAAACCAATTTTTTAATATTTTAGTAAATAAGTTTGAGCTTAAATCTAAACTTATTAAATTTGTAATAGTGATATTGAAATTATCTGGTATTAAACTAATTTTATTCCAGGCAAGTTTTAAACTAGTAAGTCGTTGTAACTCTCCTATAGATGTTAAAGGAAAAGAAGTAAGAAAATTTTCAGTAAAATCTAACTCAGTCACAACGTCTTCTAAGTTGTGAAAAGCTTTATCTGCAATAGTTTTTACTTTATTTGATTTTAAGTTAATTTTTTTCAACTTAACATCTTTGAAAATGTACGATTCTATTTCTTTGATTTCGTTTAGTTGTAAATCAAGAACTTCAATTTTATGAAGTTTAGAAAAGGATTCATATGGAATTTGATTCAGTTTACTTGAAATAATGCTAAGGGTTTTTAATGAATCTTGAATAGGATAAAAAGCATTGAAGTTAATTTTATTAATATTTGATTGTGATATTTGCAAATTAATGATTTTGGTAACTGGTGGAAATACATCCGGGTTTAACTCCGTTATGGAGCCCTCTAAGTCATAAATTGAAAGAGACTGAATAGTGCCTTTTATCTTCGATAAAACATTTTTAACAACAGCGGGAGTTGCACTTGGACACTCAAGGAATAATCCTGAAACATAACAATTAAATTAATGTCAATATCTGCTATGCGATAGGCTCATGTTTATCAGTGTTGAAATTTAATGTTATAGACGCATCATTTACGTACCTTCTTTAAAATTGTAACAAGGACAAATTGGATTCTCTGTTAAGCTTGGACATTCAGATTGTTCTTCTCCTTGTAGTATCGGAATATGGGTGATAAAAAGAAATGCGTAAATTCCGAATTCCACTTTGAACAGCCGAGTATAAATTCCCATATTGAGTTGACGTCATTTCATCCACATATTGCATTCGTCTTGTTGTGGTTTATCTAAAACAAATGGTTTAGTTATAACTTTATAATTTAGATATAAAAAAGGGATAAATAATATGACTTTCGTATAAAGAAAATTGTTAAAACTTTCAACCGTAAAAAGCAACATTCATTCATCCATTCATTACAGCCCGTTACAAGTCCACTTCTGAACATAGGCCTCCCCCAACTTATACCACAAAAGCACGGTCATGAGCCACCTGCATCCATCGACTTCCTGCATGTTTTACCAGGTCATCATTCCATCTAGTATGGGTTGCCCTACACTTCACTTACCAGTACGAGGCTACCACTCGAGAATCTGAAGAACCACTTATTAGATCCATAAGTCATCACTGGCAACACGCACTGGTTGTACAATCTAGTTTTCAGGTTTTAAGGTATACTTGACGAGAAGATGTGTCGTAATTTCCCGAACGCTGTTGAATCCGTAGATTGAACTCTCGGTCAAAGTTAAACTTACTTACTCGGACTATTTGTCCCAGGTAAACGTACCCGTCAACAACTTCGATTATAGTGCTCCCAACAAGTACCGTGTGTCATGGACATTAAACATCTTTGTTTTGTCCATGTTCATCTTAAAACCTATCCGTTGGAAGACACTAATGAGATCATTGAGCATAGTCCTAAGGTCTTCCAGTGATTCTGCCATAAGGAATATATCGTCGGCAAATCGAAGGTGAGTGTTGTATTTGCCATTGATGTTAATACCGTTTCTTTTCCAGTCCAGTAGCTTGAAAACGTTTTTCAATGCAGCAGTGAAGAGTTTCGGGAATATAACGTCTCCCTGTCTTACACCTCTCTGCAGATGGATAGGTATCGTACTCTGGTTTTGTACTCGGATTGCTATCGTAGCCTTACTGTACAAATACTTCAGTACTTCGATATAATAACAGTCCATTTGTGCCCGTGAAAGGACTCTAGTACCGCCCAAATTTCGACGGAATCAAAGGCTTTCTCATAGTCCACATACGCCATGCAAAGTGGCAGAATGTATTCCTCGGAATTCTGTACAATTTGCTGAAGGGTAAGTATGTGGTCTATGGTACTAAAGCCTTTTCAGAAACCGGCTTATTCAAAAGGCTGGAAGTCGTTGAGTCTGCGTGCGAGACGATTCGTAAATGACTCTCGAGAACAGCACGTAGACGCGGCTCAGAAGTGATATTGGTCTGTTATTCTCTAAAAGGGCGTTGTCACAAAAACTGAGGTTGCCAACCCGCCTACCAACCATGGCAAACATGCCATGTTGACTTTTCCTAGGTCACCATTTATATTTTTAGGGTTTATGAAATAAACTTGTAAGAAAAAAAAAACAAAAAGATTGTTATTGAAAAACCAAAATTTTGAAATTTTACTATGTTTAAATTAGTAATACTAAATCGATAATGCTGGGAGATCTGTTCATAATTTTGCCTTGGCAAATGGTCTCACACAACAGGTTACTTCGCCAACGCGGATTATAGGACAGATATGAGATCTCCGTTGATGACCCTCTTGGCTCCTCGGATCATTGTCTTGTCCGGCGTGTGTTGCCACTCACGCTGAAATCTCGGTTCCATTCTGCAGGCCGTCGCCGTGTTTGGCACTATAGATCAGCAAATTGCGTCGGGATACGATCTTTTTTTACATCCTACCTTTGGAGGCAGGTTTGCTTCTCGCCGGATGATCCCAGCGTTGTGGAGGGAATGGAACATTTTATTCTTTCATCTGTGATGCCCATCGGAGGCAGATCTCAGCCATGGTTTGGTCGCTCCTGTAAAATAGCATCATGCTTTAAGCAGGAGTGCTACTGGGCCTGGGCTGACGCATCAACGTCCCGGGATGTAAACACCAGCGCCCTAAAAATGAAGTATATTTCCGCCTCAAGGTCCTTCAAAAGAGTCATTGATAGGGCAAAGTCAGAGCACATAGGCAGAATTGGCGAGAAACTAGTTCGCCTTCCTTCTGGAACCCATATTTTCTGGTCTCTCGCCAAGGCTGTTCAAGGGAATTTCTGTCAGCCATCTCTTCCATTTCTGCACAGGGATGATGACTCACTGGCCCACGCTGCAAAGGAGAAAGCCAATTTGCTAGGTTCTTTCTTTGCGTCCAACTCGACTATCGATGACGAGGGGAGCACACCGCCCAACATTCAACGGTGTAAGTGTTCCATGTCGGATGAGCGGCTCACACAGCGCTCAGTTCGCAAAACATTCCTTTCCCTGGACATCCACAAGTCGAGTGGGTCTGACGCAATCCCCCTATTTGTGCTGAGGACGTATGCTCCAGAGTTGGCACCGGTTCTAACGCTTTTTTCCGGTACTCCTACTCTCATGACGTAGTCCTGAAATCAAAGAAGACGGCTTGCGTCCACTCGATCCCTAAAAAAGGCGACCGCTCAGATCCGTCAAACTACAGGCCTATTGCCGTCACCTAGTTGTTCTCCAAAATAATCCATTATAAGCTGCCAGCTCATGTGGTACCTTGAGGATAACCAGCTGATTAGTGACCACCAATACGGTTTTAGTCGGGGTCAATCATCCGGTGATCTTCTGGTCTACCTGACACATCGATGGGCGGGGGCAGTAGAGTGCAAAAGGGAGACATTGGTCATTAGTTTGGACATTGCGAAGGCCTTGATTGAGTTTGGGACAAAGCGCTTCTTTCAAAGCTCCCTTCCTATAGATTTTTTGAAAAATTGTGCATTTGGTTCACCAGCTTTCTTGCAGATCGGAACATCAAGGTCGTTGTAGACGGTGCATGCTCCGGTTACAAGCCCATTAATGCTAGCGTTCCACAAGACTGTGTGCTATCACCAACGCTGATTCTTCTGTATATCAATAATATGTTGCAAATCCGTAATATTCATTGCTATGCGGATGACAGCACTGGTGATGTTCTGTACACCGGCCGTGCCAATATTTCTCGGGAAATCATCTTCGAGTACCGGAACAAACTTGTGTCTGAAGTCGAATCTTTGTTAAACAAAGTCTCGGATTGAGGCGACTAAATCTAGTCCAGTTTAACCCTCGGAAGACACAAGTTTGCGCGTTAACCGCTAAAAGAACCCTTTGTCGTATCGCCTCAGTTTAAAGGCACTCCCCTTGTTGCCTCAGCCTGTATAGGAATCCTCGACGTCAATATATCGAGTGACGTGCAGTTTTGTGATCTCTTTGAAGTGAAGGCCAAAATGGCCTAAAAAAAGCTTGGCGTGCTCGGCAGAGCGACACAATATTTCATGCCGACACATCGCCTGCAACTTTAAACGCAGATTCGGCCTCACATGGAATACTGTTCCCATCTCTGGATTAGGGCTCCCCAGTGCCAGCTCTTTCCTGTTGACAACATCCGCAGAGCGGCTCGAATCGTTGGCGACTGACTGCTATCCGATTGGATTGATTCACTGGCGCTGCGAAGAGATGTTGCATCTATTTGCGTATTTTATTGCATCTACCACGGGGAGTGCTTTGAAGAATTGTTCGGATTAATCCCAGCAACTAAACTTCATGAACGCACTACGCGGCAAACCTTCCGATACCATTCACAACATCTGGATGCTTGGCGGTCCACCACCGTATGTTTCACTAGAAGTTTTCTTCCGCGTACGACCACTCTGTGGAAAAGTTTACCACCGGCCATTTTTCCGGCCCGATACGACCCCTTCGTATTTTATATCGTAAAAGATCGTCTTTCTTAAAGGCCGGCAACGCACCTGCAATTCCCTAGGTGTTGCAGTTGTGCATGGGCGGCAGTAGTCACTTAACATAAAGTGAACCGTATGCTCGTTTGCCCCCTCCCCTTTAAAAAAATACACAAGATAGGTATTGTCAGTAAACAATACTGCTTTAAATAAGTTTTTGGCGTAAAAGTGACCATTTATATATATTTAAAAAAAAGTTAAGGTTTCAACATTAATATTTGGGATACAACCATAAATAACGGTTCTCCAGGAGAATCTGTTCTATTTATAACTTCTTTTTGTAAACGGTAGCATAGGTATGAGTAAGACTTGCAGCGTATATTGATATCATGATTTACGCAATCGAACGCTTAAGACAAGTAATTACTCTCCCAAGCTTCATGTATGTGAATGAGAAGACTCATTTACTTTCAATCTATTAGTTTTTCTAAATAAATTATTTCTATCCTACAAAAAATAAACGGCGGAAACACCAATGTACAACATTGTACTTTATAATCTGTTGGAGATGATGAAGAAACATTACTGAAAGATTAATTCAATGAATTTGGTAATTTAAAGCCTTGTTCTCATAAGTAAATATATATTATGGTTGTAGCACGAATGGGTGGTTGACGAAACCACGCTCTCACAGAATACCAGCGCAAAATAACAACCTAATGCTGCTGGGATTCGTAAGGTGAGTTCGTATGGTGAGTAGTTTTCATGAAAACGAGGCATTTGCATTTTGTAAGGTTAATAACCCTTAAGCCTGTCTCTTTCGTCTAAGTTATTAGCTTATTCGTGTATTAGAAATTACTTACATTTTTGTCAACATTATTATTAACAAAATATAGTTATATTATTGTTTTTCAAAAATGTTAGGTATTCTGTTTATTATTTTAGGAAATAATACCTTGCTATTGTTAATGTATATTTTACGTTTTGATTATTGTGAAGGCGACATAGTAAGAACGTTTTTTTAGGATTTCTTAAACTTTATTTTTTCGTATCTTGGATATGTACCCTATACATCAAATCATTTAGTCCGTACAAAAATGATCATGATCCATCTGTCTGTCTTATCATTAGTCCCCAGCAATGAAACTCTAAGAACTACATGACTGTAATAAACCTACCCGTACCATCATTGCGGTAAACTATTCTGAGAGTCGTCCGCGTAAACTAAGAATACAACGAATAAAACTATAGATCTACAAAACTGCTAACTTAAAATTAGAGAAAGTGGTATATCAGGATCGGTCTCTTGGCGACCGATCCTCTGT